TTTACCTGCTGTTGGCAATACTGAGCGCCAGTACCTCGTTAAATGCGACAATTTTCGATCTACTACATTCCGTGGATGAAATTTCCAAAGGCATAATCGCGAGTGAACCGGACGCACCGTCTCCGGACAATGTTTTCAAAAGTATAGAGAATATAGTGGTGGGTCTGCCACTTCAAATCGCCTCCAGCATCGCCAATTCAATTTGTGAGTAACAATTTCATATGCCGCTAAAAGATTTACTTAAATTGCAATTTGTTGCTTGAATTGCTCAGGTTCGGCAGTTATTAGACAGGGTCGCGCCAAAACGCCGGAGAAATATGCACCGGAACTCGGAGATATTAAATTTCAGTTGCGCACCGCTTGTGATAGGCGCTCGTATTCACTTGTGAACGAAAACGGTTTGGCGGCTGATGAGAGCTTCGACCGCGCGAAGCCGACCGTTATATTTGCCACCGGCTGGACGACAACGGTGAACGGTAGCCAGCAGGATAGGCTGACCAACGCGTACAACTGTCGTGGTGATGTCAATTACATAGTAATGAATGAATTGTTATTTTTGTTGCTGCATAATTTTAAAATTTCTATCTAACACGTGCACAGGCTTTGGATTTTGGCGATTACATGAAGACTTTGTATCCGTGGTCAGCGCAGAACACCGACGTCATTGGCAAATATGTGGCTGAGGCGCTGCAACGACTGGCCTCGCTCATAAGCATTGCAGATTTGCATTTGATTGGTCACAGTTTGGGCGCACAAATAATGGGTTCAGCGGCACGTCACTACCGGGCTTTGACGAATGAAAGCTTACCCTATGTCACCGGTTTGGAACCAGCTTTACCGTGTTTCAACAACGATGAGACATTAGCTACGCTGTCGGCAAGTGATGCCGACTTTGTGGACATCATACACACGGATCCCGGCGTCCTCGGTCAGTCGAAGTCCACCGGCAGTGTGGACTTCTTCGTGGGTGGCCATTCTGCCTTGCAAGAAGGTTGCTTCAGTGTAACTTGTTCACACAGCCGTGCTGTCTCCTACTACGCAGAGTCGGTTTATCCTAACAATGAAGATAATTTTCTGGCAAACCGTTGTGATTCTTTGAAAAATCTGCAGGCGGGCAAATGTAAAGGCAAAGCCTATCCGATGGGCTATGCTGTGCCACATGACCTAAGGGGAACATATGTTTTGGAGGTGAATGATAAGTCGCCGTATGGCAAGAATGCTGGTGTTAGTTCTACGGATCCGGAAACCACGAATTGTGGCAGCTGTGAGGCGTGAGCGAAGTAAATGTTTACATATATATACACGCATAATTACATACATATATTATATGAATAAGTAAATATATACATATAGATTACACATATCACAAAGGTGATGGTTCAAATAATAAAATATAGAAATCAAAATATAAAAGTTATATTATAACTATCGACTTTTTTCGTAATCGATGTTTGAAATATATAGGTTCATGTTTTCAAATAATCGATATTTTTTTGTAAATAATTAATTATCGTTATCATTACCGATTGATTCTCTATAATTTCATGCTAGTAATTAACGATGTTTTTATCGATAGTTTTCGTGGTGTTGATCGATAAAAAATCGTTACTTAAAAACCTCAAATTATTGGGAAAAATAATATCGAAAAAGACATCATTATTGAAAAGCGTTAAATTATGGAGAAAAATATTATTATCGATATTTTTTTAATATTTATCGATACTTTGTGGACAGAAAACATTATCAAAAATAGTATCGAAAAACACATCGCTAATTAAATGCGTGAAATTATAGAATAAAATATTTGTATCGATACTTTCGAGATATTTATCAATGCTTTATAGATAATAAGTATTATTATCGATATCTTCCGTTTATAATTTCACGCTTTTATGAAGACATGTCTATTTCAATACTTTTTTATTAATTATTTGACGTTTACCGATATCGGTATTTTTAACGAAGTATTATGTTAATTTCTTTATAACCATTAAGTGGGTTCCTTTATATTTTAAAAGGTTGACAAATATGCCAATGAGTATAACAATCGATTTTTTATCCTAAATTATCGATTACCATTTTACTTATACGAGACATATAACTTGAAGGGTGATGGTCGAAATATAAATACCACAAAAAATTCACGTTCTAGTAATCGATTTAAATACAAATCTCAATAATTTCATGTTTTCAATTGTTGAGAGTTGTTGTAAATAATTTCACGATTGTAATTATCGCTATCAATACCATTTTGTTTTTCATAATTCTACGCTTTTTATCAACGTTACCTGTGTCATTTTTTTCGTTGTGATTATCGATAAAAATATCGATAATTATTTTGTCTTAATTTATCGATAAATTATTACTATAGATATTTTATTTATTTTAAAAGATCTTTATCCATATTTTTCATTATAAGGATTTATAAAAGTTATCGATAGTTTATTTATTGACATACATACATTATTATTATCGAAATTTTCCTTTTTTCAGTTATCAAAATATCGATATTTTCCGACAATTTCAGGTAATCCCTAAGTGCGTTATTTACATATTTGCACCTAATCTCTATCAAATACATATGCCAAAAAAATCATCGAATTTTTAGACTGCAGATAGTTTAGATTTAGTGAGCATTATACAGTCTTGGTTAATGAAATAAAATATTTAAAAAAAATATATATATTTAGTAAATTAAATTATAAGGAAAATTTTTGCGCTTTTATTCATTTGTCGATTTTTAGCATCCAAAAATTTCGTGTCATTCAACTTAGGTTCACTTTGTTTGAGTTATTTTTTCTAAAAATCTGTCAACATTTATCAATTTAATTTCACATGAAAGTTTTGAAGCCAATTTTAAATTCATATTTGCATTGTAAAAATTTTTAAGCAATTTTATCAAATTTTTTTCTATACAGGTGGCAACGCTTCAAATTTTTTTTAGTATAAGTCTCCTAGACTGATTATAGTGGTTATAATACCACAATTTATTTGTAAAAATATCGTCGTTCATTTTACTACAAAAAAGGAAAAGGTGGCAACCCTTGAAAAAAACTAAACTAACAGAACCTTTTTAGCTCACTTTGTTCCATTGCGAATTGTAAAAATTTATTGAACAAAATTTAGCAGTTTACTATTCTCAAACATCTGGCAACTCTGTTATCATATTATTATAATCTTAAGCAATAATCTTAAATAAAGGAAGCCAATTATAGTGCACAGATTCATTGTAAAATTTTTTGAACAGCTTTATAAATTTTTTACTTTTATTTAGATGGCAACGCTTTATTTTTTTTGTGTAGTTAAATCTCTTGGATTGATTCTAATGGTTGTTATACCGTAATATATTTCTAGAAATAGTGTCATTAATTTCACTAAAAAAAAGATGAAAAAGTGGCAACCCTTGAAAAAACTGTAACTCGCAGATTTTTATCTCACTATGTTGCATTGCCAAATTGTAAAAGTTTATTGAAAAATATTAGAAATTTAGGATTTTCAAACATCTAGCAACCGTGTTTATAAATTTTTAAAATCTTGTCAAACATTTTTTTTTTTAAATGGAAGATTTTTGAAATTATTTATAGTATGGTACCACATACATACATATAAATATTTCGAACTAAAATTTTTTGAATGACAAGCTATGTAAATGTTTATCTTCCGATTTGGTGCAAATATCAAATCTTTAATCAAAATATATATGTGCATATGTATGTATGTACATAGCTTCATATACATACATAATGTTTACACCCTGCACCACTTCCATTAAACAACAACACTTCAAAATCAGCAACATACTAATGCTGCAAGCAAGCGTTGAGTGTCACCAAATTGTGTCAGCCGTCAGTTGTCATGGCTTACGGCAACACGCCACCAAGAACTCATGCATACATAAACAGTTATTGGCATAGAAGCAAAGTAGCGCTTACAATAACAACTTTAGAGCCGCTAATGCAGCGACATGCATAAAGTATGCAATAGAGTGCAACAGTGCGTATACGTAATCAGCAACATTGGTTAGTGCCGCACACAAACACACATGCGCTTGTTTGTGTTTTGCTGGCACAGCATTGTGCGGTTTTACGCCACACAAACACTTACACGCGCACACACAGGCCGCAGACGCAAGTAATTCAGTGCCACATGTATACACACACATACATACAAACATGTATTAGAAGTTATTGGCGCGTGCGAGTGTCGCCAAGACGCTACTGCAATGAAACGCTCATATGCCGGGCTGCTGATGGAAGGGCAGAGCGAAATGTAGGCGGCCATAAAATGCGTAATGCGCCACGGCAACTGTGTCTGTGTGTATATGTGCTTGCGTGCGTATGTGTGTTTATGGGGTCACATATTTGCGTCTGCACTAACGTCTGGAGCCAAGATTATTGCATTACGCTAGCAAATGTAACGCCTCGACTCGTCTTCATTGCTGCTGCCGCCTGCGCTCAGCCACGCCCCTGACGCCCAGCTAACGGTGTTGTTGCACTTTAATGTTGGCGCAGCACTTACAGTGCAATTCCGTTACAAACGAATCAAATTATTTATTTAAGTTGAGTTTACGGTCATGTGAGTGCATTACAGCGCACAAACAACGGCAACAACAACAACAACAACAATGATATGAATTGCAAAGACATCACCATTTGCTGCGTGCTTTTGTCCAAAAATGTCCATGGAAGGCGAACTCATTAAATTATGCCCTTGCTAGATTGGATGTATGTGTGTGTGTGTGTGTATATATGTATGTCTGTATCTATGTATGTGTGTATGCAAATGTCTTATGCGTGTTGCTTCCATTAAAACTTGTTGTTCGCCGCAGTGACGCCACGCTGGGTGTAAGACGCTCGGCCGCTTTGGCGCCGAAAAATATGCAAATCGTTTCATTAAAGCTCATTCGGCGCAGCACTTATAATAATTTCGCTTAATGATGATCTATGTTTGCGCAGCATAACAATAACAAATAAAAAACAAAAATTCTCTCAATTACTTACCGAAATTCCAGACAACCGGAGTGTTAATATGAGAAATGTCTTGATTTTAATCTTGAACTATTGCTGAAAATACGAAAATAGTAAGTGATAAATAATTAATAATATAACAGTTAGTGCTTAGAAAAAAGAAAACAATGTTTTCTGGAAAAATATTTAATTCCAAAGTATTAAAATTTTTATTTCTTTTTATGGGAGTGTGACTTTGATAAGTTCAATATGCGCCCAAATGTAGGCCACGTTTTCAGTACAGCTAAATATTTCAATATACACAGACATATATGTATGAAATCACGTAATTTTGAAATAATTTTCATCCTTAACCCTCACCTTTAAAGCCACTTCTTTCGACTACTTATTTCTTATGGCGCACACGTAGTATGAAATTCAAAAGCTTTTACATATTTCGATAGGCTACAACAGTTTAATTGTCCCCGGCTTACCATAGTAAAACACATCTTCGGCAATACTCCGTTTTTTAAGACAACAAGTTCCCTTTAAAGTTGATACCCTGATTATAGCGAGTCCACTCGGATGACTGTTGATTCGATTTCCGAGTGAACCGTCTTCGGTGCTCATTTCTTCACGCCTAAACTTAGCATAAGAATCCTTATTGATTTATTTTTGTGTGGTAGAGTCGAGAAACTCATCGTCAAATACAGTTTTTACTTAAACAGTATTTTTCCCTTTAAAAGGTAATATTTTATCAACACGCTCCTTTTTATCCATTTTTTCATAATAACGATAATAGCTTCACTCATAATGAAGTAATCGACAAACTAATAATCTGACAGCTGTCCTCATCAAGGTTAAGGCCAATTAAAAATCATATCGATTTAATTTAATAGCGCCATCTAATGGTCAAGCCAGGGACATTTTCATACAACTCCAATATATTGTGCCTTAAGTTACTTCAGCACTTTTTCACTGACACCAAAAGTAGCCAAAAGCGCTTTGCCAAAATTTCCCAAAAAAAAAAAAAAAACGATATCGAATGGGCTTTAGCTTCTTGAAAGCTTACGTGATGAAGCCTGTAACTCAGGGTTTACCTTAGTATAGCAATCAACTGCGCTACTAAAATTGACCTCACTGCAAATCCTAATAACTGGTTTTCTTCACTAGAAAGTACAAAATACCGAAGGCATATACACCATTAGTAGATGGAACTCATTTTAGACCTGCTGACAAAGTTAAGTCTTTAGGACTTATCGTCCAACTTCGAGGAAAGAGCAAGGAACTTGTAAAGCATTACGAACCACACCAACTATGACACTAAATGTTTCGTTGCATATAACATCATAGTCGCAAAAAGTAGGCTGCGAAAACTGCACTCAAACTCAGAGACATTGAGTATTTAGAATAATGCACGCATGGGCACTCTAAAATTCTCGAATACTTTGATTTTATACCGAAATACTTGGACTATCAGGCCGGTGAATCTAGTTCTGGCTTTCGTTTCTTTGCTCACATGCCTTCGGGGGAAGCATGGAAAGAAATGACTCGTTATAATAGAGAGACGCTGAGCTTTTTAACAAATGGATCAATGTTTGCGAGGAGTCTTGATGGAGAAGTATACTGACGGAAACATTTCATCAGCGTTTTTCAAGCGGAGGTGGCTGCCATAAAGTTTGCGGTAGATCTGCTGGTGACTATCCACTCCGATGGTATTAGCCTGGGATCCACTGACTGCGCGCTCAAATCTAGTGAAAGGATGTCTACACTTCTTATGTCTAGCATAGAGTCATTTTATAGTACGTTTGAACTGGTTTGAACTAGCCTGGATACTGCGGTATTGTAGGAAGCTGTAAAGCTGAGAATCTTGAGCCTCGGAACACATCAATTTGTTAACTACCAGCAGCTGTACAGTCGCAAGGACGCTATGATACAGTGTACAAGGTGCGTTCTAAGGTAAACAGGACTTTTTGAATCTAGCGCCCCCTGGTGGCGCCATTTACATGTCGACTGCTATCTTTATCGATTGTCCAGCGAGAATTTCATGATATTTCGTTGATTGGAAGTGAAGTTTTTGCATTTTAAGATGTTTGTGTTATTGGTGCGAAAAAGAGCTTCGAAGAAGATCCAACATTAAATTTTGTTGTAAAATTGGTAAAACCTTTACCGAAACATTTCAATTGACGAAACAAGTTTATGACGATGATTGCCTACGATGAGTGGTTTCAACGCAGTTGAATCTCTCGCAAGAAATCAACCCTCTAACCTATCCTAACCCATACTTTGAGAGATACCGCGGATGGAAATATCGCTGGATCTATGAGAGCCTCTCAAATTAAGTTTTTCATCATTTCAGTTTTTTTGGTTCATTTGTACGATACAAAAATTGAAGTTAGTTAAAAAGGATATTTTCTCTTACTCTTGGGCCTCATTTAATATTTTTTGCTTAACATTCAAAATAAGAATATGAATTTGCGACAACTTTATACTGGATGTAGGCAATAAAATATTTTTAAAAAATTTTAAAAGCTGAATTAAATCATGAAATCTTCTTTCAGACACTTGTAGATTGTCTTATATATTAAATTTAATGTTCGCTTAAAAAGTAATCTCTTTTATTTATTTTTCTGCAACATTTTTCCAAAGAATATGTTTTTTCGGTAAAAATGCAACCAATTGCTGCTCTTCTCAGCATACCGGCACAAAGTTCTCCCTCTATAAATCTCTCGATTTACTTTAATAACACTACAGATGTACATGCACACACCCACATACATATGTATATGCTCACAAATACACCCACAATTCAAGTGGCAAACATTTCAAGTACTTCACGCGCCCAGCAGATTGATGCCAACACAAGAAAGTTGGTTGAAAAAAAAAATAAAGTTGATAATCAACTTTAATTAAAACTCTTGCGAAATTCAATGGATGCGGTTGTGTGGTAGTATGCAGTAGACATTTCTCAAAGTGGGGCAAAATTGCTGAAGTGCTTAACTAATTCTTATTTTCTTCCTTTCATTACTCGCCGCGTAAGTTTCTTTGCTTTGCTCTTCATCAACCACTTGCTAGTTAAGGAGACATGGCCACAACAGAAAACAAATTGAGAACAAGTTAATGGACAAGAGAATGATATGAATGCTTATGCTTTTTTGTTATTTTTAGAAATTAGGAGACGTTGGTCAGTCACTTCAAAAAGTACTTAATTCTTGCAGCACATTGGATTTGAGATTAATGGAATTGATATGTTTACATACTTAGGTGTGTAAGCTATTTCAGTGCACAGTCTACTCTAGCTATAATTTGATGGAATACAACGTATTTTAAAAATGTTCTGAAAAGCTGCAGAAGAAAAAATATAATTTAAAAATCTTGCCTATATTCAGGCGCAAAAATAAATTCTTTTAGCAAAGTCGCTCACCCGAAAAAGTGGATATTAAAGCAGTCATTAGTAGGTTTCTCACAGTGTACTCAAAATAAACTTCTCGGGCAACTGAGAACAAAGTTAAAAAATATTGCCTATATTCAGGCGCAAAATTAAAATTTCTTTAGCAAAGTCGCATACCCGAAAATTTAATATTAAAGCAATAATTAGTAATTTTTCTAACACTGTACTCAAAATAAACTTTTTAGACGCCTAAAATAAAAGTAAAAATTTTTTTCTACATTCAGGCTCAATATAAAATTGTTTTATCAAAGTCACACACCCCGATAAGTGGAAATTAAAGCAGTCATTAGCAATTATTTTAACAGTGTACTCAAAGTAAATTTATTAGCTGGCTAATCAAAAAATTTTGCCTACATCCAGAAATTTTAATTTTTAGCAAAAATTTACACCATAACATTGGAATAGTAAAGCCGTCACTAGTAATTTCTCTCACAGTCTACATAAAGTACACTTATTTTAGTCATCTAAAAACAAATTCCAAAAATGTTGCCTACATTCAGGCGAAAATAATTTTTTTTAGCCAAGTCGCACACCTCAAAAACTGAGTATAAAACCAATAATCAGCAGTTTTTCTCACAGTGTGCTCAAAATAAACTTATTAGACGTCTAATGGCAAAAAGCAAACTGCCAACTAAGCTGTTGAGTGTGTGAATCAAAACATTTGAGCCAACAAGCTCGTCCAAAAATTGACTTTGCCTAGTGATGACATTTCCACCAACAACTACATGCACATACGTAATTACGAAGACATTGCTATGTACATCACATACGCTTGAGGTGGGCGCAAATGACCCACAATGAATGGGACAACTACGACGGCTAAAATAATATTCCAGACTCCCCTCTTAACTTCGCCAACTCTGACGCTCACATTCGCTTTTAGTGATGAAATATTATCTAATAAAAAAATTTCCTCAACTGACCAACGCTGGAAGCCTTAGCGACTAACTTGGCTGATGACGCACGCATGCTTCACTCCAAAGCAGAGCCATAAAATGCCAACCACAATGCGATGGCATTAAAGGGAATTAGAAAAGCGGAAATGTGAAAGCAAAGCGCAAAGGCGCAGCGTGGAAAGAAAGGAAAAATACTATGAAATGCGCATAGCCAGCAAGTGGAAATATTTAAGTGAAGAGAATAGAAGAAAAGGAAATTTAGAAAATAGCTAAAAAAGTAGGAAAATGCTCAGCAAAAGCCAACAGTTGGCGCGCACTCAGTCAAGGCTTCGTGCGGCGAGAAATTGAATGCCCTAGCTCAATTATATACATATGTATGTGTTCAGTTAGTTTTGGATTATTTTTTGTTTACTTTTTGGCTGTAAATTTACATTGGTTTACTTTCTAAGGGTTTTCCTTTTCTCTTTTTTGCATTGCCAGCCGAATAATCGCACACAAGGTCACGGTGTGTTTGTTTTTCAACACTCCGAAAATTCTCCTAATTATAAAAACGATACAGCGCTATTTGAAGTGAGCGAGGCGGCTGCCTTTTTAAGTTAAGTAGAGTAGAAAAAGCGGCCAAAATGAAGTTTCAATGAGGGTCACTTAAGGCTAAGGGCGCTCAAAAGACATTTAACTCAATTCGGCAAAAGTGTTAGTCTTCGAACTACAAAATTTAGCTGTGCCGGCAGCAATAAACCACTGATTTAGTCACCATCATGCTGTTTCTA